AAGAGGAGGAAGTTGGGGTGGCGTAGCCGTTGTCACGATAGGCCGTGGCGTACTGCCGAGAGCAGCAACGCCAACAGCAGCAAGAGCATCAACGAAAACAGCACAGGAGCAGTACCAGCAACAACTACAACCACAACACCTACAACTACTTCATCATTAACAACAAACAACGCGGCACGTTTCGAAGTGCACGAAGACAACGATATAAAAGTCGTTCCCACAGGACCCCCCCCTCTTTGATACACGCACGCTCTGCCAACCAACGTCCAAGCAACCCGCCTCATTCAATGCAAGACACGTCGTCATACACACCTGCTCTGTGTTGGTATTGCGGATAGAGTGCGCTTCGTCTAAGATGACGCGGCTCCAACGCACCCCCAGGAGCCCCCCTGGCATTACGGGACACACAGCATACATCAGAGATAAAATTCAAGAGTTTAACGTTGATGTTGTTGTTGCCTTCACATTTGAAACCGTACCGATCTCTACTCAGCGGTACCTCCAACCAAACCCACACCCTAGGCACGACGCCTAGGATATTGCTCTCCCCGTCCCGCACTCCGCCGATCAATCCGAGCTTATCTATGCGCTTGGCGGCCTCGCACCTGCCGGTGCTGCACTTCCTCCTCCCCCCCCTCCTCCTCCCGTTGTTGCCGGTGCGGTGGATTCTCTGGCAGTTGCGTCGGCCTCGTGCTTGGCCATCTCGCTCGAGAGCACCCCGTACGTCGTGAGGACCACGTCCTTTCGGCACAGCTCTCGCGTGGACCTGTGCGCGTGTGTGTTTCGCATGCACGACTCACGTGTGAACGCGAACGCGTTGGTGGGCGTGTTTCTGTGACGTGGCATTGACCGCCCTAACGGCATGACCAAGCTGCAACCCCGCTGACCAAAAACAAAACTGACGTCAGCCTTCAAAAATCGGGACAAATTTCGCCACCTACAACAAGAATTCAAGAACCGCCACCCCGGACAGGAGGGGTTCCGCGGAGGAGATTGATGTCCTACGGGGGGGGGTGCTCGTATCTTCAGCGTAACACTTACTTCGCTGGTCGAGGTACCAACAAAACAGCCATCAGTCTTAAGGGCCAACTAACCGCGGGATGCACATCCCCCCCCGCGCGCGCGCGCCAGGGCAAGGGTGTGAATATGATGTGCATTCTTAGACCCAGAAGAAGAACGGTCCACCTCGGAGATTGCACCCAACCCCTCCAGGAGAACCAAACAAACACCGGCATTGGCATATGGCTGCAACTTCAACCACCCCCCGGCCCCGCCCTCGTGCGACATCACAACCAAACCTTGGTCCAATTCCCAGCCACCGCCTCTTTCGAGTTCCCGCCCACACTCGCCTGCTTCTACCCGCTCCGTAGTGGAACCCCACGCTGATGGCCCCCTTCCGCGTCTTGCTCTCCAGCTCCCCCCTCCACTGCCCGATCAACGACAAGGGGCACACGACCAGCGTTCCCCCTCCCTTCCCCACACCGCGACCCCTCGCCACTCGCTTACCGCCGCCGTTGCTCTCCTGAGCCCCGACAGCGTAGGGATCGAGGAGGAGAGCGGACGGGTCGGACCCGGCCTTGCCCCCGCCCCAGCGCCCCCCGCCCGAGCGCCCCTTACAGCTAGCCCCGACACCTTTGCCGGTCTCGCCTCGGCGACGCTTTGACGGACCGCCGTTCGCGGCGACGGCGCGAGACTTTCCCTTGCCGGCGGTGGGCTCGAAGTCGGAGTCTCCGTCTCTGCCGCTGCCGCTACCGCTACCGCCGCCGTCGCTGCTCTCCGGGGTGGGCATGAAGTCACTCTCACCGCCGCTGCTGCTGCCGCCGCCGCCGTCACTACTACTGACATCGAGGCGCACGGCGGCGGCGGCAGCACGCCGCCGTTTCATCCCAGCGGCAACGGACCCCGCCGAAGAGGGCACCGCCTCCGTCACTGCGGGAGAGCGCCTCTTCCCACGCGAGGGCAAATCGGCGTTGGCGAGTGCGTCTTCCGGTGACGACGTGGCGGCGTTACGGCCGCCGGGACCACCGCTCCCGAGCTTTTGCTTGCCCTTGGAGACGTGCTCTGCTGCGTTAGCCGAGTCGTCGTCGTCGTCGTCGTCGTCGTCGTCCAGGCAGACCACGAGGCTTCCGTCGCGGCCGACTGCTGCGGGTCCCCCGCCTTCCTCTTGACCCTTCTCGTCGTCCTCCTGTTCGCCGCCGTCCCCGACCCCATTGCTACCACCACCGCCTTCCTGTCGCCGCTCTTTGTCCGACAGGATGAGCGAGAGCAGCATGACGGTCTGCATGGCGCGAATATATCTCAGCCCCAGCAACAGCAGCAGCAGCAGCAGCAGCAGCAGCACACAAAAGCGAAGGAAGCCGCCGTAGCAGCCCGTTCGAAAATAGTTCGTGAAAAAGCCACAAGCCGTAGTAAAATAACTGAGCAAACACGAAATGAACCTCTATACTGAGTCGATGCATGTCCAGTGAACAACAAACAAACAACAACTTCGGCGGGGGGGGGGGGGGGGGGCAGAGCCCCGACCGAGCCATGAAAGCCAGAAAAACTGGGGGGGGGACACGAAAAGGAAAACTACTTGCCGTAACACCGTCGTGCTATCGTATCTTGCTATCGCGAAGAGAACTATTTATAGCCCTCACTCGTCGAAAAACACGCCCAGAGCCGAGACAGAGCGGGACATACAATTTCATGAAGCAGCAAGCGTACCAAGACCAGGAAATACCTGCCCCCATCAACCGTTCACGTCACGCGCCCCTCCCTCACCTTGCCCATCCCCATCTCGTCGGCGAGAATCCCTCCGCGACATCCCAGCGACGCGGGCGGGAACTCCCTCTGGAACCGCCTGGAGTAAACGTTCACGAAGAAGGCCTCGGGTTGCGACAGCACCAGCTGTGGGGCCCGGTTGTCCCCCCCACCCCCGGCATTACTATCATCATCATCATCACCCATACCACTGCCGCCGAAAAGGTCGAGACAGTCTCCAGACGCCTCCTTCCGGACCACGATCGAAGCCGCCGCTCGCCGCTCCCACAGCGGGTGCATTGCTACCCCGGGCCCCCCGCCGCAGTCGCCGGACCCCCCCTGTTTCGTGTTTGACGAAGCCCCCCCCCAAGACGCCACCCGAACGCGCCCGTCCCTGATGGCGACGCCGCCGCCGCCGCTCTCCTCCTCCACCGCGCCTTCCCCGGCATCGGCGGCGGCGGCCGCCGCCGTCACCGATGACAGTCCCGTGCAGTCCTCCTCGGTCACGTACCGCTTCTTCTCGCGCTGGATCATCCACGCCAGCGCCTGCCGCTGGTACCGCCGGAGGGCCAGCCCGTCCACGAACAGCCTCGGGTCCCGGGCCTCCGGCATCTCGCACAGCTGGGTCTCGTCATCGTAGAGCTCCTTGACGTCCTCTTCTCGGACCTCCTCTTCCTCCTCCTGTTCCTCCTCCATCTCGTTCCGCTCCTCCTTCGCTAGCGTCTTCTCGGCCTGCTGGTGGTCGTCGGCCTTGCCTTTCTCGGCAGCAGCAGCAACAGCCTGCTGACTCTTCGGCTGTTCTTGCTCGATGTGACCTTCGGGTCGTCGTCAGGTCCAAAAAGGGGAGGAGGGGCGAAGGGGGGGAGGTCAACATCGATATTTCTCCCGCGGCCCCCAGTAAGTCGGCACGGGTGCCAGGAGGCCCACAAAACTTTCGAAACTCCCCCCGGACAGCGCAAGTTTGGAGCAAAAACATGTCCGACACAACTTCCTCGTAACCCAGCACCTTGTGGAAAAAAGTGTGCTGAAGTTCCTCCGCACGCCCCCGAACCTACAACAACGGTCTTATCTACAACAACGGTCTTATCTACAACAACGGTCTTATCTACAACAACGGTCTTATCTACAACAACGGTCTTATCTACCGTACAGTTACGACCTTAGCAAGAAGTCACAGCCGGCGGACGCGTTCCTTCGGAAACGGCATATTGCTTCCAATAGCGTGTGCACCACGGTGTGCAGCAGAACGATTTAGCCGGGAAAACGGATATGGAGATTATTTCCTGTGAGGGGGAGGATGATGGTGTGCCGTGTACAGCAGGGCCAAATGCACTCGTACAGGATGCCCCTGCGCTTGTACACGCAACATGCAACCAACAGAGAGAGCCAACTCTCGAACACGTTACACGCACCTGTGTGGGCGAACTGCAGGAGGCAGTACGCGTTGCGGTAAAGCTCCTCCTCTGCAAAAAAATAGCGCGCGGAGTCGAGTAAAGGTACAACAGTCCATGTGAATCGAGGGAGAAACACTTGTCAAAGCAAAATGGCGCCTTAGCTTGCGAGACAAAGAAAACAACGAACGAAGTTCTAGCGACTAAGGAGCAGGGGATTAGGCACTTGGATGGCAAAACAAACAAAACAAAAAAACTGGGAAAACACTTCATAGCCATGCTGTGCCCCCCCCGTACTGGCGCCACTTGTGTCAGATCGTACCAGGTTCCAAGGCGAACAGCCCCTCCTCGATCTCGATGGACAGCATGAGCGGCACCTCCGCGAACTTTCCCAGGCCCGGCAGATCGCACACCGCCTCCGCGTGGGCCTTTACCAAGCCCTCCTGCAGCAACGGGGCCAGGAACGCGCACACCTGGATTTTCTCGCGGCGCGGACGAAATCGTTTCGTAGGGCCAGCAGGAAAAAACGCGCGCGGGACGGGCGGGAAAGAGGAGGGTGGTTGGGCCCGCCGGTGCCTTGGTCAACCAGCGACATGTGGTATGTATGCATCCCTGTCCAAAGCGTCACACACTTGAACACACCCAGCTTTCGTATTGGTGTACCTTTCGGCCAACGTACTGCTGTGGAACCCATAATCGTAGCAGGGAGAGGGTAGCGTCGAAGTTTCGTTTCGGTCCTCCCCCCCCCCGGCTGCCTCCCCTCTCCCCAGGCCCTCTCCAGAGTCGCGAATTCTGCGCATGGCGATATGTGAGTATCTACCCCCCGCCCGGCCGCACGCGGGCGGTCGGCCACTTTTTTGCCCCGGAAATGAACCCACCTCTCGCGGAAGCCTCCCCTCGACTCTCCCTGTCGATCCCCGAAACAGGATGTTTGACATCGCGCCCGCAGACGATGCCTTCGGCTTCCCGAACCTCCCGCCGCCGCCGCCGCCGCCGCCTCTGCCGGCCCCGCGCCCCGCCCATAGCTTTGCTTGCGCCCCCCCCCCCTTCCCCGCTCCTCTTCCCTTGTTACCCTTACCCTGTGCCGGAGGCGACGAGCGCGATGATGATCCCGACCCTTCGCTAATGATGGTGATTTTTTCTCGGTATTTCATGCTTCCCTTGCTGATTGTGTACCTAACAGGTTCGGGGGGCGTAGTGCAGTGTGGATGGGGGGGGTGTCGGAGCTGACAGGGAAACCGCCGAACCCTGCATCTGCCAGCATTTGCACCGTGCTGATTGGGACAGCAGGCAGGCATTGCACCGATGCGCAGCACAACAGCAGCGACTCAAAAAAGTTACGGTTGTCCACGCATGTACGTAAGATCGATCCCCCCCCCCCCCCCCCTAGCCCCCGGGGAAAAGGGGGGGGGGGGTTGGAACCAGCCCCACC